TGGGTACCATCATGCACAATCGGGGCGTTATTCGCTATACGTCCCACCGGCTGATATCTATCCGACTGAAAATGAGATTGACGTGCTCACCGCCCGCTCGAAAAACTTCAATCTTGTCCAGAACTGGAACCGGTATTCAAAGCCGAACGCCTTGCGTGCGAACAGCATCTCCATCTGTGGGGTTCGCATGTATACCCTGACCCACGTTGGTCTGGCTACGCTGGCGGACCAACTGTCCTGGCGTATGACTAGCGTAAAAAACTTCGGTATCTCCTCCGTTCGCGCTAAAAAGCAGGGTTCTGCGTGTCATCGCAAATCAAATCACGGCAACGCAGTCACTTGTTTTCCAATGAGATTACGATGTGCGAGGAATTAAGCTTTGCACGTTCTGGAACCCTACACCCGCGAGGGACCCGTCAAAACCCATGAAACCCAAGGCTTCCAACTCGGGAATCACCGTCTACTGTACCCGTCATACTGGTCCCGCTATGTTTTGGCGTCTCGTCTCATGGTGTATTTTCGACACATGACTGGTGCTAGAGATTAATTATTACCGACGGGATGACCTTGGTATTCGTCTTATACACAACCCGTACTATTACTACTCCTGTGCAGCTAAACCGTTCTGCTGTTATACACCAGCACAAGCGTCTGTTGAGCAAGGAACATTCCAAATATCTTCCTCACGCCCGGGGCGTGGTGCCGGTCCAACGGCTAGCTCGCATCATGATCGATGCCCATCCCATATTGTACACTCCCGCGACATCTAGACCCATTGCCATCTCTTTCGTATCCACTTCAGGACATACACCAGAAGCACAAGTACAGGAACCTCGATCAAGGGCCCCACCGTACTTGCCAGAGCCTGCCCGCTACCCGCGCCGTAGACCGCGACGACAACCGCGATAGCGAGCTCAAAGTTGTTGCTTGCAGCAGTAAAGCTCTGCGTGCAGCTAACCTTGTAGCTGAACCCCATCTTCCAGCAGAACCAAACCGTACTCGTAAAGATGACGATGAAGTAAACCAACAACGGCGCGCAAACCCTCAGCACATCCGTAATCTGCCTAACAACATGCGCGCCCTGACTAGCAAAAAGAACGATGATCGTGTAAATCAGGCCGATGAGCGAAAACGGCGCGATATAGCGTATGAACCTGCGTTGATAGCGGTCCTCTCCCAGCATCGACCTCAGTGCCAACCTCGTAATCACAGCAGCACCAAGTGGTATCCCCAAGAAGACGCCCACACTCTGCGCGACCTTCTCATACGAGATATCCGTCTTGTCCCCATGACTAACCACCTGGATATAAAACACCGCAAAAGGCGCAAACAACACAATCTGCAATATCGAATTGAACGCCACAAGCACAGCGCAGTAGTCGCCGTCGCCGCCTGCGAGATCCGTCCAGATGAGTACCATGGCGATGCAGCGCGCAATGCCCACGAAGATGAGTCCTTCGCGTAGGTCCTGGCGGTCCGGCAGGAAGGCCCATGCTAGGCCGACCATGAATAAGGGGGCGATGATCCAGTTGAGAACGAAGGAGACGGCGATTTGGATCCAGAGGTCGCGTTTCTTGAGGAGGAGGTGCAGCGTTTCGAAGCGGACTTTGCAGAGGATGGGGTACATCATTACTAGGAGGCCGATTGCTGTATAAGGTATTAGCATCTGGCATGATACCTGCGAGATAGATCATGGGATGAGGATGGTGATGGAAGGAATGAGACTTACCGATCGGAATACTGACGCCCACGAACTCTCCTCTCTGCAACGCTGGACCCACGGAGTCGACGGTGTTCCCCAGCGCGATACCAATGCCCATGGCGAGGATAATCCATACGACTAGGAAGCGGTCGAGGAACGAGAGGCCTTTTAGAGGAGGAAGTTCTTTTTGTGTGGATGAATTGTTACCTGCGAGGACGTTAGTCTATACATCATGAGGCGCAATATGGGATAAGAATGAAACTCACCCATCATATCCTCCCCATCACCAGCACCACCATCAACACCACCCTTCTCAACATCGCCAGCCTGTCCATCTCTCAACCGTGCATCTTTCCGGGCAACCTCCTCATCGCGTATCGCTCCTCGCTCAACAGTATCCATCTTCTTTCGCTTTCGCTTTCCTTTCCTTTCCTTTCTCAATTCCTCTTTTTCTTCTCTTTTAGCAGCGCGTGGGTTTCACGATACCACGCGTTTGCAGATGCGCAATGGGCACGCGTCTAAAGTAGGTAAAGTGATGATGGCAAAGTAGGCGAGTGCGGCCAATCAAGGCGCAGCAGTGACGTTTTCCTGCCGCCAAGCCGCTAACAGTGGGCGGTGAGGCGAAGTTTGGAAATGACGAACGTGATGGTGTTGGCGATCCTTTTCGCGGTTGCAGCATGCGCGCTCTTTGGTATGGCATTTCGCGGTGTCGCGTTTGGATAGCTGATGAGTGACTGGCTGAGCCTATTACATTGCAAGAGTTGGAAACGTGTTCTTTATGTCATGGACGGTCGTTGAGGTCTCCAATGGATTGAGGGATGCTAACTGTTGCTACTCCTAGTACGTCTTTCCCAGCCGAAACTGATCTCGACATCTGGAGATGATGGCTTTCCTTTCTCCTTCATTGTGGCTGTTTGAAACTGAGCCAACGACAATGTGCCATCATGTCGTACCGTGCAAACCAATCCTCCACTCACGAACAAAGGTTCTTGAGACACTTGATAAGGCTGTATCGCGTCTCGCCCTCCCAGCCTTCTGGCATACCATAGCTCAAGAACCCATTCATGTCCCTTTCCGGTGTCCATGTCCTCGCAATCACCATCTCTTGCAACCAAGCAATGTCCACTATTTCCGCCGTCTTGTCGTAATTCCGAACATTACCAAGGGACCCTAGTTTGCCCCAGGAGGTGACCCGCACAGGAAGACAGTCATGGTTTAGCTCGATCTCTACCATAGGATCGCGAACTGCCAGTGCGATCCTCAGTGAGTGTCCCGTCAGAACCAAGACGTGCTTGCGTATCTCGCCCAATCTTGTAGTATGGTCCTGGGTCTCACCAAGGCCGCATACGCGAACGATGATCGTAGTATAGGCTGGGAAGACGCAGGTAGCTCGCAGCAGATCCCTTGCGTTGATACGAACTTTAGCCAGGTGTAGCGGCTTGTCTGTCTGGAATCGTAGAACGATAGTTGGCGCAATTTTATATACCTGAGATGCTGAGATTGGTGTACAGCGCTGCAGTCTGCCCATGTATGGGACGTAATAGTCTGCAGTGCGGCGCTCAAGTTTGTCAAACATGGCCTCGGAAGATGAGAGAGTGGCTGAGCCTAGGATGATAACAAAACGGCGTTGTTGATGAAAGTGATGAAAGTCCACAAGCATCATCTTGCGGAGGTGGCAGTTGATGTCGAGCATACTGAAACCGAGCCCATGCGAGATACCCGTGTTGAAGTCGTACGTGACCTCATGGTTACTGTACACAGACCTAGCAATGCGTTCCAAGATCTTGGAAGGCAGATCGGGAAGTTTAGGAGGGCTCGGCTCAAGTGCGTATCTCTGGGTGTTCTTCGAGAACTGGAATCCCCGTCTGACACCGGCCTTACCATTACTCGATCGAAAGTCGATGAAACCTTGCTTGCCGTGCGGAGCCACTTCGACGTCGCTTATTAAACGGCGTGCTTTCATCAACCTCAGCTTGTCCATATTTCCCAGCTCATATAGGACCTTGGTGAGAAACTTGACGTCAAACCGGGAAGGGTAAGAGGAGAGATAGGGATGATTGCGATTGCTAGTACTCTCGAAACGAACTGACAGACCGCATGCGACTCCATACCAGAAGACGTCGAGCAATGGCGTGATCTTGATGTTCTTTTGAGAAGACCGGTAAAAGTCGTCCCAGAGAGAAGGATTGTCCCACTCATCTGGTAAATCTGGCATGTCCATGCGAATGGCAACAGTACGCAGCTTTGAGAGACTCGATCCGATATCTCGCGTCCATTTCCGATATGCGTCTATAGGACTGAGTATTCTCCCTCTCTTATGGACCAGTATCCTATACTCAAATCGGAAGACATTTTGACCATATAAAACGCCGATTGCCTCATGGTAGATCTGGCGGCAAGTCTGAATGATGGCAGGGCTTCCTGAGAAGCTGCTGGTTTTGATTGCCGAGTCGTCTGCGTTGTCCACAATCACAATAGGCCTATCGTCGACCAGTACGTATTCGTAGATCTGGTTGCGGATTTCGGCCGGGATGGTGAGGAGCGAGGTTGCAGCCGGATTGCTGGTTTGGGAATACACTTGCGCGATCTGCCCGTGGATGGGCTTCGGCAGTGGGAAGTGCATGACGGAGTGAGAGACGGCGCCTGAGCTGCCGAGTAGTGGTGCCGCGGCGGCGACTGAAATTCGTTAGTAAATGCACATACAAAACAACAGCGGGTAAAGTACTCACCGAGCGGCTATAAGCCTAGCTGTATGCAGTTGCAGAACGCGTGAGTGCAGTGCATCGTGTGGCCTTCAAATGCGAGGGAACCGACGATGGTTATGTGAGTGTCGGTGTTCAGGGATTCGCAGTGAGGTTGTTGTGCTTGAGCTTGGACCTTAATTGTCCTAAGAGGAAAGAGCACCTAGGCAACAATGGTTTCGATGTTGCACTAGTGCGCTAAGAAAGTGTTCTATCTACCTTATACTACGTCATCTTTGCACATTTGTGCCCATGTGATGGATCATTCGCTGGCAGTAAACTGGACGTCGATGGCGACGCACGACCACCATTACTAGATGATGCGAAGGTATCATCCTAAAGTTCTCCTGTCACAACGTCAAGGTAATGCAGAGAGAATACACGTGGTTTGCGATGCGCACATAGGTGTTTGGGAAGTGATAATGGATTTGGGGCTATCATATGAAGTGGTGTAATGTACAATGGGATACGGTGGGGGTGTGCTAAACCACTGCTAGATCTAGAAGAAAAAGGTGAATACATTGTAACAGAACATGCGCGTGCATTTAGTTCTCCAATCAACCGCAGAGGTTATACAGACGCCAAAGAACGTCATCCATCGACTTATTCTCCCAGCACTCGGAGTCTCCATCCTCTTGTGGCCAGTATGGACTCAAACATATCCCGATCTCATCCATTGATTCCTCGAGCTTCGCCCGCCGGTCAGAATCAAGCCTATCGAACAACGATTTAAGCTCCTCGGTGTCCCAACTGTCCACTATAGTCGTAACGGAAGGCTGCAGGCCTTTTCTAGTCTTCCGGAGGGTGGCCCACATAGGGACACACTGGCTGTTCAGCTGCACTTGGACACTGAGCTTGCGAGTATCTACACGCGTCTCGGTTCTTATATGCTTCAAGAGTATGTAGGCGTCTTTTCGAATATCGCCCAACTTCGAGGTACGGTCTTGGATCTTTCCGTTGCCACCGTGTACGCGGACAGTAACATCAGTGCTGTTCTCAAAGACTGCAGTGACACGTAAGAGATCCCATGCGTTGATTTGGACGGCAGCTAGGTGCGGTGGTTCGTTTGTTTGGAACTGCAAGATGATCGTTGGTGCGTTGCTGTACAACGTGCTTGCTGAAATCGGATTACAGCGTATCTGTGTCTGCCAGTCTGGAGGCCGAGAGATCAAAGTTTCTGCAATGCGACGATCAAGCCTATCAAACATTGCCTTGGAAGATTTGAGTGAATCAGTACCTAGAACCAGGGTAAAGCGGCTTCTGCGTAGAAACCATGGGGCAACAAGCTGGCGAAGCTGAGAATTGACCCAGAGCATGCCGGGTTGGTGTCCATGTGTGACACTCGTGTGGAAGTTGTAAGTGAAATCCAGATCATCGAGTGCAAGACAAGTGATGGTGCCGGTGATATTGTAAGGTAGGCTGAATAAATTCGATGGGTTTCGTAGAGGAACGATCTCATATCGTTGTGTCTCGGTCATTAGCTCAAACTTGCGTCGCATATTGGCTTTGGAATGAGTCGAGCGATACGCAACGGTGCCTTGGTTGCCGGTCGTATCTACGTAAACCGCTTCCAGCAAGCGACGTGATTTCTGCAAATCGAGTGCGTCCTTTTTCCCGAGCTCGGAAAGAACATGTGCGATGATCGTTGTGTCAAGCCTTGGCTCTTCAAATTCTGATTCTGACATATCCGATGTATCGTTCTCAGCCACCTCAACGATGACTGATGTGTTGCTCGCGTCGCTGTTCCAGAACACGTCGAGTAACGGCAAAACGTCTGTAGGTTCGCGGGAGTGATCGTGTACATACATTTCGACGTCGCATTCCTCAAAATGCGCGTAATGTTCTGGGATTTCGGGCATGTTCATGCTGATGGTGAGAGTGCGCATTTTCGGAAGGCAAGAGCCAATGTTGTCTATCCATCCTGCGCATACTTTGATGGGACTAGTGACCAAAACGCCGAACCGCTCTCTCATCATGTTGTATTGGAAGTGGAAGACGTTCCGGCTGTAAAGGACACCAACTGCTTCGTGGTAGATTTGACGGCAGGTAAGAAGGACAGTAGGGCTTCCTATGGAGGTAGAAGTCCCTTTGGCTGCCTTGATCTTTGCATACTCAACTGTGGTGTTATCAATCGTGATAGGATCAAGATCGACAAGTAGGTACTCGTAGATCTGGTTTCGAAGTTCCGGCGCGATAGTGAGTATTGGTGAGGACGCGCTAGGATCCCCCGATCCTGAGGACGCTTGCGCAATCCGGCTACGTTTGGGATCAGGAACTGGAAAGTGCATGGCTGCAGTTCGAGACGGTGATTGGGCTGGTGTTCGAGTGCCGCGGTCGGCGTAGGTGCGACTGGCAGTCATTAGTAAGTGCACAAATACCATACCCGTAATGAGCGAAGAACTTACGGGATAGCCTCCAATGCTGTTGCATACGATTGGGGCGGGGATGAGTGCAACGGGCTGCTTTGTTCCTGTACAGGACGACAGAAACGGTAGAGAGCAGGTGAGCGTCGGAGTTGTGGAAGTTAGTGAGGTTGTAGAGCACGAGCTTGGACCTCGCTTGTTGTGGAAGGAAAGAGCGACGACCGTTTGCACCAGGGCGCAAAAGGCGTCTCTCTCAACTGTACTACGTCATACTGGAACAGTGAGTGCCGAAGTTTGATGCCCAAATATGAAGGCGATGAAAAGGATCGCAGCACATGAGGTCATTCTCGTCAAATACACCCGTCACAGCAGCTGAATGATGGCGAGCCAAAACGCCCAGAGGCCAGCGACATGAGTGTAATCTGCGCTTTAATCAGATATCTAAATCCAGGCCAACAACATCTAAATACGACCCCTCTCCAGAAACTTCTTCGGCAAATCCACAGTCTTCGCGCGCATATACTCCATAGCATCTGTCACACCGTCAGCAAAGTCCACTCACCCAAAGCCCCACTCAGTGTACTTACTCTTCCCCAAAGTATCATACGAAGAACACGTATTATACCCCCCATCCCTCAGATGATCATGCAGCAAAAAATGCACCGACCGAATCCCCGCAATCTCAAACCTATCAATCGGCTTCCCCTGGTACTCGTCCTTACCCAGAAGCTGCTTAACGCGCTCGATCGTCATAAACGAGCGCAGCCAATCCCACTCGTCGTCGTGGCGCACGAAGAAGCCGCAGTTGCAGTCTGAGGCTTTGTCTCCGGAGCGGCCGGCGACGATGTAGCCTAGTGGTGCGCGCACTGTCTCGCCGAAGGAAGATAGATCGACTGAGGAGGCGGTCTCGTAGGAAGCTTGTTGGCGGGGGTATTCTTTTGTGATGGCGGGTGGGCTGAGGTTGGTGGCTGACTTGTTGCCGTACATGGTGTGAACGCGTAAGGGGAGTTGGTCTTGGGGGAGGAGCGAGACCCAGTAGTCGTAGTAGGGCTTTGGTGCGATCTGGCGCAAGTCGTTCGATAGGGAGAGACCGGGGGCGGATTGGAGGAATACTTCGAGACACCAGCGGTTGAAGCCATTAGGGATGTCGGGTCGTACTAGCTCGGGGTCGGAAGTCTGGGCGAAGATGCGGAAGTCGACTGTTGCTACGTCTTGGTTGTGGGCGTCGATTGGTGAAGAGCCGTTTTGGTGGAATCTGAGTGTCTTGAAGCGGTTTACGTTATCGCCCATAGCTGCTCATATTAGTCTCGCGTTGCGTGTATGGAAACAACGCGTGCTTACCGTAGCGGATTTGGTCTTCAGTAATCTTGCACTTCTCCTCGATATCAAGACCGCATACAAACATATGCCATTCGCATTGCCAGCCGGCTGGAGCGGTGATACCTACCTTAGTCGTCGGTGGCGGAGGAAGCCCTTTGACACCTGTGACACGGACAAGATCCTCGCCTAGTTGCTCCATCTTGACGTCCGTGATATCGGCCGTAACATCACAGTTGTAGTATAGTGGTCCCTGGATCTCGTATAGTAGCTGCGAAGTGCATGTTCCGACAGTCACGCAACCTGTATGCGTTAGCGGCGTACATCTTCAGCTTAAGGTACCGGTACCTACCTCCGGTATCTTTCTCTTTCGCAATGTTGAAGCTGCCGTCGTATTCGACCTCCGCGATAGGGAACCCCATATTGATGTGCTTTCCGGTCTTCATGAGATCTTTGAACATGGAGTAGTATCCTCCAGTAACATAAGCTGAGCATTCAACTAGATGGCCTGCAATGAGTGCTCCAGCAAGTTCGTCAAATTGATCGTTCCTCCAGTTGTGCCACCACCTGTTCAAATTAGCCAAGGTCAAAGAGGTATCACATCAACTTACGCCGCAGCGCCAATAACCGGCGCAGCATCTGCAAGCCTTCCACCAAGCACAATATCAGCGCCCTGTCGGAAAGCTTCTGCGATGCAAAGTCCACCCAGATACGCCTGCGCGCATATCGGTTCCATTCCCCATTCCTCAAGCTTCTTGCCATGCATCAAGCTTTCGAACTTCTCCCCCTTTTTGATAAGACTGTTGACCTGCCCAGTCACATCGTCTCCTTCTATCCATGCCACTTTGAGGTGGCCAGCACCCGCTTTCTCCAGCATATCGACCACGACTTCAGCGAGAAGTTCAGTATCTGAAGCACCAGCATTCACCGCGAGCTTCGTCTTGTTCTTGACTAGATTCGGTATCGCTGGCTCGAGGCACTGGATGAAGGTATCGGCGTACATGGCGTTCTTCTTCCGGTCTTCAAGGCTCGTCGTGCCATTGGTGCTCTTCGTAGGCTTCTGCTTAACTTTGCCGCTACCATGTACGGTCATGGTCATCTCGGACAGCCAATCGCCTGTTCGTGTCAGCTCGAAGTCCTCCGCAGTCAGCGTTCAGGGGGGTCTTACCCATAACAACATCAACCTCCGGATCACCCGCCATCCTCATAATAGCAGTCGAGCGATCCGTAAACCCTCCAGAGCATCCTGCGATGCGCACAGCGCGCTTGCGGTCAGTAGAAGGAGACATTTTCACTCGTTTGGGGTTCGGCGCCATATATGTCTCGTAAGAAACCTAATAAGGGATCAATTGCTCCATGACGGAGAGTCTCAAAGCTATATACCATGCCATCCAGGACCGGCTTTCCGGGGTACGGCAACCCATCGAGGCTGTTGCAGGGCCGCTACCCTGATACCGTCCAATAGCGGCTATGCATAAAGGTAGCGCAACACTCATGTCATGTACTGGGAGCTACTTGCGGATAATCTTGAACGATGGAAGACGATTTCCTGAGAGCTTATGGCGGGGTTGCGGGGAAGGAGACGGACGCGAGCGCGCGGTGCTGCTGAAAGCCCAGAACTATCTTCATTGTGATACCATCAACGGCATGATTTAAGTGTGATGTGTTCGTAGTTGGGTCGTTGATTTGCGCAAAATGCCGACGCGTGCTTGACTTTCACGAATTGATGAAAGGAAGAGGACTGTGACGCGCGATGTTCGCGATTCGGCTAACGACTCATTTTAGTCAGCGATGAGGTCTTGCATGACTCGGCGACTTTGTCCAACTCCAAGAAGGAGTGCTCCGCATCATCTCGGGTCTGGCAGCGTCACCTCCTGGACATCACCACCAAGCTCAGAACTGCCCAGGTTTATCTGCCTGTTGCATTCAGGATCATCGCACTATTTCCATCGATTGAACGCCTATGCAGCGCGCTTTGTCCGGCGCAAGCCGATAATCCTCCTGCCCATACATGCATCACAACCCCCCGTGAGTAGCGCAATAGCCTCGAAAGCGGTTCAAGACAGCGGCGCGGACACTCCTTCATTTACTAGTGGCTTATACTGGCAGTTTATTCTTCATCGAGACTCACAATCTCTGGTCTTGCTTGCGGACAAGCATTCTTGGACACATTGCGCAGATTGGCGGATACCTTGCGAAAGCGGTCTTGGTCGCATCGAACTCGACTATCAGCGAAGCAATCGGTTTCATACCTTGAAATTACACAAAGTACGAAGATTCTGATCAAACAGACAGTGACTTCGTCTACTCTCTCATTTGTGTAGTGTACAATGTCACTTGGGCACCCATTCACACCTACAACAGCAAAGTAAGAGAACCCTTAATCACCAGCAACCATGTAGCCCAACACGGCGGTGAACAAGCAGAGAAACTAGGTAGGTTTCTACATAAGCGGTTCGAGTATCGTCTTTCTTCATCCCTCCAGTTACTTACAACCCTGATTCAACCATGGACAAAACTCAAACTCAGCTACTCGTCATATTGGCAGCTATCACTGCCGGTTCGGTTGTGACTTTCGAGTACCTACGGTGGTCTGATTCACGGCTGAAGACTCAACCAGTGTCCTTAGTTGCGCAGACTGCAGCAGAGACTCCTCAAACTACGACTCATCCTGAAAAGCAAGAGGAGCATGCTCGGCAGTCTCAGATCGATACCTCCACTAATCAGTCCGTTGTGAAAAGCATACAAGAGACTCATACCGAAAAGCCCGAAGAGGGTGGTCAGGAGTCACAGAACGATGTTTCCGCGAACCCGCCTGCCGCCGAGACCACAACACAGCATCCTGGGGTTCCATGCCATTGCGATCCGTGCAAAGAGCACAGCCAAAGGTCTCAAATGGATACCTCCGCAAATCGGCCTGCCATGGTTTCTAGAGATAAGGAAAACCGAACTATACTCGATGTCCATCTCATCCAGTCGAGATTTGACTTCCAGTGCTCCTGTGACTTGCACGCAAAGCAGCTTTACTTCAACTGGCCTTGGACATGCAATTCCAAGCACAACGAGGACGACATCATCCTTCAACCCAATTCACGACCTACCCTAATCCAAGATCACGAAGATGGTATTTACGAACCCCTGTTACTGGCACACCGCACCATCGAGTACTTCTCTCGCCCCGAATCTGCCATGGACTCCAGCCAAACCGCGGCCCTTGCCCAATGGCGCAAAAGCCACGAGCGCACCCGCGTCCTCGAAATGCTAGCCCAGCACGACATCCGCAACAAAGACACGCAGTTCTTAACAGATTGGCTCGTCTCGCAGCTCAACGAAATCTTCTTCTTCGGCGCAATCAAGAGCCTCGAAATAGTCTGGAACACCGATGAGCTGGACGGCGAACACGGCGTACTAGGGGACGCAATTACAAAACTCAAAGACGGAAACAACCGCTCATTCATCCGCCTCCATCCAACACGTCGCTGCTACACACAATCAGAGTACAAGCGTACAGGCAAGACCCTCGCGGAAGAACGCATGGGAGTCATTCTACACGAGATGCTACATATTTTCTTGGATCAACATATGTGTGAACTATGTGGTACGCCCGAAAATAGGTCTTCTCATGGAAGGGCGTGGCAGCGGATTGCAAGGAAGATTGAGGAGCAGAGCTTGCGTCTGTTGGGTATCGAGGCGGATGTAAATCGACTGGCTAGCTTTATGAATGATTGGCAGGACTACGATACTAGGGAGGATGTTAGTATTTGCGATTTGCAGGATTGGGGCTTTTGGGAGAGGCCTGAATACAACATGTAGGGGCTGAGCGCGGACGATGGAGACTGAGTAGTGTTTTTTGTCTAATTGTTCGATGCTAGAGCGGAGACCGTACACCCTGGTCGAGAATGAGTCTAGATACTCACTTGTACTTTGATAGAAAGATGGTTATATATTTAAAAT